GAACTGGGGGCTGGCGGGCCAAGGGAGGTTCCCACAGCTTGCGTGGACAGGCCGGGGGGACCATCATCATCATCATCATCATCATCATCATCAGCATCATCATCATGATCATGATCATCATCGTCACCATCATCACCATTATCATCGGGCGACGGGGATAGGTGGGGCGGGGGGCATCCGTTCGGGGAACGGGTGGGTTCCCACAGCTTCCGTGAATTGGTGGGTGCAGTGGTCTGGGTGATGGTTTGGGAACGGGAGTGCGTCGTGGGCTGGGAGGTTCCCGTGGTCGCGGGTCGGGCGACGCAGGGTTCGGGCCGGCGGGGTGGATCACTTCGTCACAAGGGTGGGTTCCCACAGCTTGCGTGGACTGGCTAGCGGGGCGAGAGGGGCGAGGGTCCGGGGACTGAGGTGCATTGTGGCCCGCGGGGGTCCCGTGACATGCTTGAAGTGGCCGAGGGTTTCAAGGCGCTTGTGTTCCGAAAGGGAAATGGTGCGAGTGGTCTGAGCAGGGACATGGTCGGCGGCAGCGGCCCCGGGGGAACGGGGAGGCTAGAGAGAAGCAGGGGCATGGGTTGAGCGAGTCGGTCACGTGACCGAGAACTCGCCAAAGTCGTATGGAGGCGTGGAAGATCGTCAGGTGGTCTGGGGGGGTCGTTTCGGGCAGAAGAGCAGGAGGGTGGTTTAAGTCCCGGTCCTCTTAGGAAAGTGCAGGAGCATCTGCCGGAGGTAGAAGACGTCCTTCTGCCGGGGGTACTTCATCTCCAGGCGGCACACGGGCGGTTCGCTTCGCATGCGGACGTACACGTAGTTTTGGCGTCCGGGCGGCGCCATGTCCACAGTTGGTCGAACGGTGGTGTCTGCAGGTATTCGGTGCCATCTTGCAGACAGGGTAGGCCACTCGCTTCTTGGCGGTTCGACGAGGTGGTGTCCGAACACATCGGGGAAGAAACCGCGTAACGCCACGGGGCAAGTCGTGCTGACAATGAAACGTTCGAAGTACTCTGTGTATTTGCAGCCGAGGAATGGCTCTCGGTTCGGGCGGTAGAAATAGCGCTCCAACTGGGACGTAGTGTGGTCCAAAGCATCGGCTTCGAATCCCTCGTCAAAGTCGACCCAGTCCTCGCCGGGAAGGTGCACCGGCAGACAAAGTACCGTAGGCACGCGCTCGTACGTGGTGTAGCCGAAGATTCGCCATGCGCATTCCGTGGCGACCAGGTACCTGCCGCGTAGCCAGTCGGCAATTTCGTCGGTCGGCTGGTCTTCCGAGCCGATGGTGTACATGGTGTGGTCGGGTCCCTTGAAGAGGTACTTGAATAGGTATTCGAACAGATTGACAGATCCGGCGAACTTAACGTTCGCGTGGCCGTCCCACTTCAACAAAATGCTGGGGGAGTACTCGACGACCAGTCGATTGCAGCAGACATGTCGTCGTCCGTAGGCAGGCCCGGCAGATTGGCAATTTGGGCAAGTGTTAGAGCACGGACGTCGGCGATGGTGCGGGCACCCTCTGGCGTCGATCTCGGTGGTGTCTGCGAACGGCCACGGGCATCCTTTGATGCACTCCTGGGCAGGGTCGTTGGGATGGCAGGAATGATTGCACCGATGAATCATGTGATGCAGGACGCGCTCGCGGAGTGGGCCATGTTCAGGAGGGACTTCGCACGATGTGAGAGCATCGATCTCCTCGGGCGCGCAGGGGGGGTTGTCCACCGCGAGCGCAATGCGTGCATGAGGGAGGCCCCGCATCTGATACTCAATCACGCGGATGATGTACCTTCTGCGCCCAGAGAAGTCGGTCTTCAGAAAGGAAACCGTCTCCAGGAGTCGCGCGTGGAACACGCGGACGACGACGTCTGGTCTGTCAGCAGCGGTTTGTCCAGGCAAGAGGGCTGATTGAATTTCTGGCCAGTATGGGTTGCATGTCAGAGTGATAAAGAAAGTGGGCGGGCCTTTACGACGCGCCAGTTCCAAGCAGTCGACTCGAAGACGTCTGAGGTGGCGCGGGGACCCCGGCACGCTCGAGGGCAAGAGCACGCGGGCCACAGCAGGAGCTGGGTCGGCGGTGCTCGCAATCATCTCGCAGACCTGACGTCTAGTGCCACGCAGTTTGGGCTGGTCACGGCGGAGGAGGCTCAGTCTGTCGTCCCCCATGCGACAGTACATATTAACGAGCCATTCGTTGAGCAATCGTCCGCAAGCGTGCATGTGAGACAACCGTAGCATGCATTGCCGGTACCACCACATTTGGCTGATGTGCGCGCCGTTGACCATCGCATCCGGGCTCCACCCACGCCCGCCGGATGGGAACCACAGTGGGTAGGACAGTGGCTCGTAGAAAGGGTGTAGTGGATGGAGATACTTGGGGGCGGTGGAGGAGTTCAGTCGGAACTTGACCGTGCGAGGTTGAGCGTGGCTGTCCGCGCGCGCGTCGACGATGGCGGCGAGCTCGTTGATGTCCTCGTCCCACTTCAAGTGCACCGCTGCGTCGGGCCCAGGGCGACGTATAGTTCCGAGGCGTTTGATCTCATTCATGAACGGGTTGATGGGCAGTAGGAGGCGTTCCAGGCGACGGAGCAGCCCCGCGTCTAACTGCAGGGTAGTGGCTTGTCGAGTGCGTTCTTGAGGGTCCACGACGAGATATCTCACAGCGGTGGTTTCGGCTGCCGTGAGCACTCGCCTGTACATCGTGCCGTGAATCCGGAGGTTGGAAGGACGCATGTAGTTGCCGAATCGAAGTTCCTTCGTGCTTCCTGCGCTGTGGATCTCGTGAACAGCCAATGCGAATAAGTTGTTGTAGCGGCGACTTGCTGTCGTGAACCCTGTCAGACGAGGAGAATTGGTCGTGGGATCGTGCAGAAGATGGCCCGCGGCGTCGCGAGCGGGCCAAGTGGAGCGGAATATCTCCAGAAGGGCGGGCGCCGGAGGTGAGAAGAAGTGCTCGAATGTGATCGCCCACTTGCCGTTGCTGCAGCAAAACGCCGGTGTTTCGGTTGGAAAGAGGGAGGCCGCACAATGCGGGCAACTTCGGTTCATGTCTCCGACAGAGAACGGCACCTCTTGTAAGGGCGGTCGACCCACTACGCTGCATTCGCGACAGACGCTGTCATGCGTCCTGTCGCGGTCGCAAGCGAAGGCTTCCCTTGGCAAGGAGAGCCCACAACGAACGCAAGTGACCTGTAGTCGGCGTCGGGACATGCCAGAAGTCTGCGGGGCAGCGGCGGTGCAAGTGATGCGCGCGCGGGTGGCTCGGTGGCGTTGGCGGACTGCGAAGTGCAGCCGCGGGACGTCCTGGTCGCAGCGCGTGCAATGTAACGTATCTGCGCTGGGACGTCCGCGAGAGGCCGGCCTCTTGCGCACGGCGGGGGAGTCGCCCGTCATGATCCCAATCGGCGTATGCCGAGGCGGAGCAGCAGCGGAATCCTGGAGCCAAGGGCTACGGGACATCAATAGAGCCTGGCGCGGCCGAGGTGTGTACGTCGTCGCTGTTAGTGCGGGCCTTGGCGTTTGGAGGCCTCATGGGTGGCTTCTCGGCGATCTCCTGGGGGTCTCTTGGGGCCTTGGGGGCCTCTGGAGAGTGTGTTCGGGGTATCCTGGAGCGGGAGGGCCGAAATGTCGGCTCGGATCCTGTCGTGGGGCCTTTCTTGGAGCCGTCTTGAGGGTCCTGGTGCCGTCTTAGAAGCCTCTTGGGCCGTCTTGGGGCTGTCTTGGGGCCGTCTTGAAGGTGTCTTAAGCCGTCTGGGGGCAATCTTGGAGTCCCCATGTGGCCGTTTTGGAGAGGCGGGTGTGGCAAACGCGTAAATCCAAGAATCGTCGAAGACCAATGGGAATCAATGAATTTTGCCTGTTGGGGCTCTCTTGGGAAGGCTCTCGGAGGCCTCTTGGGGCGTCTTGGAGGCCTCGTGGGCCTTCGTGGGAACAACTGGGGCATCATAAAGCGGAATGCGGGCCGGTCGGGCCAGCTTGGGGGTAATGTCGGGCATTGTCGGAGCTGTCGTGAGCCCGTTCAGAGCTCTTCCGGGGGGGCGAATTAGGTGACGCCCATCCGGGGGGGGGGGTTCCCTTATATTTTGATAGGGAAAGGAATATATATATATATAATATATAATATATATATATATATATATATATATATATATGCTCAGCCCCCCCCCCCAGCACCCCGTCCCGCGATAATTCCGATGATCCTCCTCCTCGTCCTCCTCCCGCATCCTCTTACGCGCCTGCGCGGTGCTCGAGATTCGCCGTCGTTCGGGAGCAGTGCTGGTCCTGCCAGGGGGGTCGCGCAGAGTCCGCTGCCCTCGAAGTTGGGTCGCGCAGAGTGCGCTGCCACTTCTATGATGTGAGGCTTGAGTAACGTATTTGGACTCTCCGCGCATTGCTCATTGCTCATTGCTCCCCCTCCTCCTCCTCCTCCTCCTGCTCCTCCAACCCATCCTTCTCACTCTCTTTTTCCTGGTCCTGCACATCATCATCATCATCATCAGCATCATCTTCCTTCTCTTACTCCTACCCCTCATCATCCGCCCTCCTCCTTTTACTTGTCCGCCTCCTGATCATCATCATCCTATTCTTCCTCATCGTCATCATCATTGTCATCATCCTCATCATCATTATTATCCTCATCATCCTCTTCTTCCTCCGCGCCCTCATATTCCTCATCTTCCTCATCAGCCGCATCATATTCTTCATCCTCCTCCTCCTCCTCTTCCTCATCCTCCTCATCCTCATCTTCTTATTTACCCTCTTCATTCTCACCCTCATCATCCTCATCATCCTGCTCGTCCTCCTCCTCCTACTCCTCTTCACCCTCTTCTTTCTCATCCTCCTCCTACCCCTCACCCTCCTCCCTCCTCAGTTTCCTTGTCCGCCTCCTCATCCTCGTATTCCTCTCCCTCCTCCGCCTCAGCCTAACTGGGTGCAACCATCCGTAGTTTGTTATGAATCGAGTGGTTGTTTTTTGTTTGCTACTTCTCTCCCCAGCGCTGCCGCCACAGCACGCCATGCCAGCTGCATCAGCGAAGGCCGTGAAGACTAAAACCGACAGGTGTCGCGATCGCAAGCGCGCCAAGTCCTTGAAGAACTGGATCGCCAAGCCGTGGGTCAAGCAGTACCCGAGGGAGGCTGCGCAGAGACACCTGCGGAAGTATCGCAAGACGTGCGCAGCTTTGCGGGGCGAGAAGGCCGCCCTCGCTCAACAGGTCAAGCGCCAGCGCAAGGACCTTTTCAACATGCGTCGCGATGTCTTCATGGCCCAGGTGTCGGGGTGGACTTAAAACGCTTCCTTGGCCCTTAGGCGCATAGCCACAGCAACGTAACAGGCGAACAACGACGTTGTACCGCCCAATGCACCACGTCACCAACGGACGACAACCGTAATCCATTAGCAACGCGCAATAGCGCAACCACATCATTAAACACACACACACACACACCACCAAACAACAGCAACACCACCAACAACAATACAATGCACAACAGAACCCCCACCCAGCGCGCAGCCGAGAACAACCAGCGCGCAGCCGAGAACAACCAGAAGGCCTTCCAGAAGGCCAAGAGCAAGAACGACAAGCTGGAGCACCTGGTCGAGGAAACGGCGCGCTTGAGGCACGACGGCGCGCCTGAAGGGAGCGAGCAAGGGCTGGCCTTCTAGACAACCAGGAAGCGAGCTTTTGAAAAAAAAAGCGCTGCCTGCGAGGGTCGTCTTTGGGCCTCTTGGAGGTCCTCCACGCGACCCCTCGGGAGCGGTTTTCCCAGCGGGCCAGCTCTTGCCCCGCTCGCCTTCCTTTCGGCGCCTCGCCGAAAAAGGCGGCAGGCGCAGAAGGCCAGAGCCCAGGGCAAGGCGGAGGGCGCGGCCGCGGCCACGCAGGAGGGGGCGAAGGAGCGCAAGCGCCTTGAGCAAGCCCTTTCTGAGAAGCAGGCTTGGCTTTGGAACAATCGCACCGTTGAACGCCGACGAACTTCGGCGCTCGCCCAGGCGCGCTCCTGGGAGGGCGCGGCCAAGTCCGTCGGCTTTCAATGTGCGCCCCCATCCAAGGTCAAGCGTTCTTCTCCGAATTGTCAGGCTAAGTACAACAACCTCTTGTCGGACAAGTGCCGCTTCATCGCTCTGGCCACGGTCGCGCAGCGGGAGAAGTACTTCGAGCTCGCGAAGAAGGCTCGGAGGAGCACCCGTGACGGGTGCTTCGGCGACCAGTAGGCTGGCTGCCGCCGCTAATGCCGAATTCGGTTGCAAGGCGAGAAAACGAGCACAACTCAAAAGACCGCTGCTGGGGCCAGACCTAGTGAAGGCGAGAGGGGCATCCTGTTTTGGATGCCCCTTCCAGGGAATCCCGAGACGACCGGCGAGGCCATCGCCCCCCTCCGCCAGACCACGCCAAGACGGCTCAAGGAGCTTCGGAGACCGCTCCAAGACGACCCGCGGGCGGGCGAGAGAGCGGGGCGGGGGCAGGGGGCAGGAGAGAGGCAGAGGAATAGAGATGAGGATTTTTATGCGCGGGCTCAAGGGAGGAAAAACACGGGAACCCAAAAAATGGGTTCCCACCTCCGCCTCTGAAAAAGCCACTTTTCAGTTGCACGTGATTAATTACGCAGCCAGAAATGAGTGTGGGAAACAAGTATGCCGCAAACCATGCCGCATAATGTTTCAAACGTCACCGAAGCAATTGTGATCCTGACGGTGCTGCTGATGGTGCTGTTGCTGGTGGTGGTGCTGCTGGTGGCGCTGTCGGTGCTGATGGTGCAGCTTGTGATCCTGGCGGCGATGCTGTTGGTGCTGTTGCTGATGGCGGTGCTGCAGCTGGTGCGTCTGGCGCTGACGGCGCTGCTCATGTTACAAGGCAGACAGAAGCAGCGACAGAGCGCAGGAACGGCACGCCAGCGGCGGCGTACAGAAACCAGCAGAGCCCCCCTGCAAGAATGAGGGCATCCAAAAAATGGATGCCCTTGTAGCCACATAAAAACACAGAGAGCGAGAGAGAGAGAGAGAGAGAAAGAGCTGCTGCTGCTTCTGCTGGTGCCTCCCGTTGCCGCTAGCGCTCAGGCCTCCGCAGGGTGCTCAAACCCCCTCAAAGTTCTCCGCGGTAGTCTTCTACCCATGGCTTTCGAGTACGCCTTCGTGCCGCGCGCCATGCCTGGCCACGTTGGCCACGTCTTGCCGCCAGACGCGGCGTGACGCAGGGTGGGGCGCACGCAGGCTCAGCGCTAGGCTGCTGGGGAGGACTTGAGGGCGGGGGGTAACTAAGTTTTTGGATGGCCCCTCTCCCGCCACCGACCATCTCCTGATTTCGGCAATGAGGAAGCACCTTTGCTTTTGCCCCAGGATCGGTTCAACGTGTGCGTGTGGCCCGCGAACATTGAAGTGCGGGACAGCGGCAACCAGTTCTTTGCCCCCGGCTTCCACGGCAATTTGTGGGAGTCGAACGATCCCGCGTTCGATTATGTGATCGTTGCGGCACCCAGGTGATCGACCGCGCGTGGGGCGACCTGCGCAAGGCGGTCGGCAAGGGCATTGCGAAGACGGTGGGGTCTGTCCTTCTCCGCAACAAGGCAGGCCAGATGAACGACGTGCAACGCGTTTGTTTGCGTAGGCGCTGTCTCCTCAATCTTCAGTGCAGCTGAACGCCGCCCAGGGGGGTGGGAGGTGTTGCCCGGCGCGGGAAAGGTTGGCGGGTGGCATGCGCTGAGGTTTGGAGAGGCGGCCCAGCGCGACATGCGCAGTTGCTGCTCGCTCTCTGGCCTATGCAAGGTGCGCTCCTTCCAGTGGACGTACTGGAACCGCGGCAGCGATCTCTGGCTCGCTACTGGCCAGATGCTCCGCGACGCGTGGGCCAAGGACCACGCTCAGTGAGCTCTCTCGCTGACGCAGCCGAGCCCGCTTGGAGATCGGCGCGCAGGAGCAGCCAGGTGGCCAGGCGGAGTGATCTAGTGGCGACAGGCTTGGCGTTCGGAGTGAGAGTGGCCAGGCGTACGGCGCGCGTTTGCGCTTGTTGTCTATTTCGCTTGGGCCGAGTTAGTTCTTGAGACCAGAGGTGTGTTCACATTGCCCCTCTTCATATAGATGCCACCCGCGTTGCGATATGTCGGGCGAATGATATGGCAATGCCCAGGCGAAATGTGCGCGGATCCGCATATTGTTTGCGATCGTAGTGAAGTGAGCTGAACATCATCATCTTCAGCTGCGCGCGGGCGCTATCGCGCGCTTCGCCAGCGCGCACTTGCGCGCAGGAAGAGGAAGAACAGACGGAGGAGGAGTGAGAGGAGGAGGAGAAGGAGGAGGAGGAGGAGGAGGAGGAGGAGAAGGAGGAGGAGGAGGAGGAGGAGAAGGAATTCTATTGGAAAGCCTCACAAAAGGAATCCTTTGGAAAGCATCACAAAGGGATTCTATTGGAAAGCCTCACAAAAGGAATCCTTCGGAAAGCATCACAAGGGAATTCTATTGGAAAGCCTCACAAAAGGAATCCTTTGGAAAGCGCCACAAAGGGATTCTATTGGAAAGCCGCACAAAGAAATTCTATTGCAAAGCACCACTGCCCACCAAACCATGCTATTCACATGTTTTTTTGGTTTTTTTGGTCAGGGAAGCCACGAAACCTTGCTATTCACAGGTTTTTTTGTTTTTTTTTTTTTGGTTTTCAGAAGCTCCACAAGCTTGGCCAGAAGGGGACCGCGGGGGCTTGCGGAGCCTCTGAAAACCAAAAAAACATGTGAATAGCAGCGTTTGGTGGCTTCCTAGACAGAAAAAACAAAAAAAACCTGTGAATAGCAGCGTTTGGTGGAATCGTGGCCACCAAACGCTGCTATTCACATGTTTTTTTTTGGTTTTCAGCCGTCCATAAGACCTCCTGGCCTAGTTTGTGGAGCTTCTGAAAACCAAAAAAACCAAAAAACCATGTGAATAGCAAGGTTTCGTGGCTTCCCTGACCAAAAAAACAAAAAAAACCTGTGAATAGCATGGCTTCCTCCTCATCCTAATCCTCAACCTCCTGGTCCTCCTCCTCCTCCTCCTCATCCTCTTCCTCTTCGTTTTCATATTTGGAGGAGGAAAGGAGTAGGATGAGGAGGAGGAGGAGGAGGAGGAGGAGGAGGAGGAGGAGGAGCAACGGAAAGAGAGCGATGGGTGCACACGGGGTGCTGGGGGGGGCTGACCATAATATATATATATATATATATATATATATATGTATATATATATATACTAGAACCACGCGCGCGCTTCGCGCGCGCTTAGGTTCTAGCCGTGGCCACGGAACAGCTCCGAACACGGTATGACCAGGCACAGGTCCAAGTATGTGGCGTTAGCCCAGAAAACCGACCTCCTCCCCGTCCTCCTCCTCCCCCTCTGCCTCCTCCTGCCTCTCCGCCCCCTCCTCCCCCTCCCCCTCCTTCCCTCCCCCCTCCCCCTCCTCCTCCTCCTCCTCCACCTCCTCCTCCTCCTCTTCCTTGTCCTCCTCCCCCTCCTCCTCCTCCTCCTCCCCCTCCTCCTCCTTCTCCTCCCCCTCCTTCTCCTTCCCCTCCTCCCCCCGTCCTTTTCCTTCCCCTCCTCCCCCTCCCCCCCTCCTCCTCCCCCTCTTTCCTCCCCCCCCCCTCTCCCCTTCCGCATCCTCCGACTCGTCGTCGTCCTCCTCCTTCTCCTCCTCCGCCTCCTCCCTCCTCGTCCTCCTCTCCTCCTGGTCCTCCTCCTCCTCCTCCTCCTCCTCCTTCCTCCTCCTCTCACACTCCCGTCCTCCTCGCATATTTATCCCCCCCCTCCTCACCCATCCTCTCCTTTTTCCCACTCCTCTACCTTCCTCCTCTCCTCCTCCTCCTCCTCCTCCTCCTCCTCCTCCTCCTCCTCCTCCTCCTCCCCTCTCCGCCTCCTCCCTCCTCCTCCTCCTCCTCCTCCTCCTCCTCATCCTTGTCCTCCTCCTCCTCCCCTCCCCTCCTCATCTCCTTCTCCTCCTTTCTCCTACTCATCCTCATCATCCTCCTCCCTACCCCTCATCCTCCCCTCCTCCTCCCGCACTCCCTCCTCCTCCTCCTCCTCCTCCTCCTCCTCCTCCTCCTCCTCCTCCTCCTCCTCCTTATCCCTCTTCCTCATCCCCCTCCTCCACCTCGCAAAACACTCGACGCCGGGATGTGTTCACAACGTGGGCCCAGCATATCCGGACGACTTCCCGGGGCCGCCTGTTCATCCCGCCTTGTGTCTTACGGTCCAGGGGCCCCGCAAGGGCCCCCTGGAGGCTGGAACTTGTGCAAAAGCTTCCCGTCGTGTTTTTTC